AAGCACGTTCGAAATAAGGTCATCGCGGTATTGAAGAGACACGTGGATTATATTTCGAAAGAAATATCTTGTTTCGTATAAAACGTATAATATTCATCGAAATAATCATTTGAGACGATGCTAGATTTACGTGCACAGATTTGTATGATTTGTTGAGATATGGAGATTGGATACTCTCCGTCGGTATCGAATTTAATCTACTTTTTTTAAGGTTAGGATTTTAAGTTGAGGTTAGGTTTGAAATAAGTTATGCATGCTTCGTATGTTTTTCGTGAATAAAATTTACGTGTATTTAAGATAACAATATTACGAAATTACAATATTATTTAGTGATGTGTATTCATGGATATTCTTTCGATACATCAATTTAAGATCATTAATCTGAAGAAGTTTGTGGAAAGTTTACTTAGCTTCTTGAATTTTAATCTTTCCTCTGACTGTCTATCAAATTACTTATAATATATAATTTGCATTGTATCGTTCCAGCAATATAGCAACGAGCGAAATACGAGACATTTTGCAAAGTGTTCAACTGTTGTAAGTACGAGTAAAGCAAAATTACACGTCGTCGTAATGGGAGCGCTATTCGTTGCTCGTTTTGCTCGAAACGATATTAAACTTAGAATTGCCGTTTCGAAACGGTATATTTCGTTGATGTGGACTCATTCCAGAAATGTATTCAAGGAAGTTTTTAATTTTGGAAAAATTAATAAAAATATTACGTAAAACTTTCACATCCAAATATTATTTTTTTTTTTGTTGTAAATCGAGAGAACAAAATCATTTTTTATTATCGAAATCGTTTTTAATACACTGAGACACGACGTTTAAAAATATAATTTTGATGTATTATCTCGTCAAAATTTTTTTATTCGCGACATTTTATCAACATTTTTTCAATCAGTCCAAACAAACTCTTCCAAGGACAATTCCTTTCCGACATTTCAACCTGAGAAAACATCATATCGAATCAACATAGTCGTATCGAACAATCCTGAAAATAACGTTCTCCGCGTTTATTGACACGCCACAGTTGCATTAAGCGTTATCGGTGTAACGAGTGTTAAGAATTATACCGGATACAAAGACCCTCTCACATTCTTGACACGAACTAACGAGATCCAATCAAAACCACCTATCATAATTCACGCTGTTCCTCTCCATTATTACTATCGATCTTCAACGGTAATTTCCACCAACGTCGTATATCATTTTCCCCCATTAATGAAACGTTTCCACAATGTTGTTTCCATTTTATCTTTAACACAAGATAGGGTATATTTTCAAAATTTATTTTTTCATCAAACTTTTATTAATTATAATCGATCGAAAATCCTTCGACTTTTAGAGAAATTAAATAGAAATGTAAATGTATCGAGAAAATTCGTAGGGCGAGTCGAGAGCTGGGCATAGAGATGGAAAAAGAATAGAGCGAAATCAAGGCCTGATGTATAGAGCGGAAACGGATGGATAGATAGGATAGGACAGCCAGTCGCCTAACGACTAATATCGATCTTCTCACTTTTATAACATGTATATGAATATAAGAGAACTGCACGTTTGCGTTTCACTTTCCTAGTTCACCTTGGTGATTCATTT